CAGGTCACCACAGTTACTATGAGTTGATGAGTACAACCATCTCATATGCAGAAGACAGCATTTCATGAGCTGCCTACTATCATCTGGTTCCTATATTATTTCCACCTTCTATTCTGAGATGTCTCCTGAGACTTGGACATGGAGGTTGACATAAATGACCCATTTAGAACTGAGCATCCAAGAGTTACTTATTCTTAGCACTTTGATCAGTTATTAGTCTCTGCATGGACTGTTACCCACTAAGAAAAGAAGCTTCTCTGACCAAGATTGAGAGCAGCACTAAAGTATGGATAGAAACATGTATATTTTAACATTTAATTATTTTTATTTTATGTTTATAAGTGTTTTGTCTACGTGTATACTTCATATGTGCTAAATTCCCATAAAGGATAGAAGAGAAGGGAGCTGAATATCCTGGAAATGGAGTTATAGACAGTTTTAAGCTGATATTTGAGTTCCGGGAAACAAACCTGGTCCTCAGAAAGAACAGAGAGTGCACTGAACTGCAGAGCTATCTCTCTAGCCGCAAAATATTTAGAGGGTAGTTTGACCCACCTATTTAGGAAAACAGTAGTTCTTTCTCTAGGGTTCATGGCTTTCCCAACCATCAACTAGCACCATAATGTATTTGAGGTTCATCTTCAATGGTTCCTACTTCAGATGTACAACTAACCATTTCCCAAAGATTGTCCGTTTTCTTTTAGTGGGTGATAAATTTACGTGTTTTCTTACTCTATATGTACACTATTTATAAATAAAACAGTTCAGGTACATGTTTGGCTTTGTTTTTACTGGATAGTGTTCCCAAATAGTACAATGAAGATGCCTTCACCCTGTATTTCAAGCTAAGTAGCTCCTTGTGTCATTTAGTGTACCATCTTTCATTTGGTGTGAATGAAAATCTTCTTTGGCACTTTCGGAATAGGGAAAAAAGGTGACTTCAACTCTATGCTCAACTTTTCTTTGTTTGAATCACTTCCGGTAAGCTTTGGGTAGGGAAATAAGGTCTACAACTGTATCAGCTGCAAGTTTTCAGGATCTTCAGTCATGTGCCTATTCCACCCCACCCCACATATTTGAGAGGTATCTATTTCACATAGTAGAGTTGTGTTTCACTGAGAGTTACTACTTTCTGAGTGCAATTGCTGCCTATTGTTAAAGAATGCTTGAGAAAAAGTGGTGGGTACTCACCCCCTAAGTGTTCAATCCCCCTTCAACTACCTACTACTCTTAAACTGGCTTCCTTGAGGGAAACAAGGTACATTGACAAAGTCCGGGTGAATACATTGGCAAGGACGTGACTCAGCAACAATAGAGTTGTTTGAAAGAGTCAGATTACTGTTTAGTTCTTTCTTCTCCTCATTCCTTTTGTTGTCTCCATTTACCTAACATCTCCTTTTTCCTGCTTCCTTCTCTATAGTTTACCAACTTTCTTTCTTTCTTTCTTTCTTTCTTTCTTTCTTTCTTTCTTTCTTTCTTTCTTTCTTTCTTTCT